CATGAAATTAAGATGTGTAATAGAACACTGAATCTCAAAAGAGAATGGAGGCTAGGTCTAGGTCTGAAGCCTTCTCCCAGGAGCCTCCATGCTCCCTGGACATATGTATCAGCTCTCTTCCCAGCAAACCCTGAATTCAGGATGTGGAGGTTGGTTGGCATGTGTTGAACGAAAACTTTGCACTTTATGGGCAATTCTTGCCTCTATCATATGAGGCTCGAACACCAGGCTGCCCAAGAAGAGGACTCTGTTGAATATTTATAAAGCCCAAAAGAGTATCATAGATTATGGGATATCCACATACCCATCAGTGATCCGCTTTGAGATCTTAGAGAAACCTCATACAATCTCTGTGTCCCATTGCTACAAGATGATCAGTACTGAATTTCTGCAGCTTCACATTGTACTGTTATGCAAAGATTCCAAATATCCTTCCGATTGGAGATAATGTGTCAGCCCTGAGCCTCTTACAGTGGAAATAAAATACAAGGTAAAGCAAAATGGGATTCCCAGGCTGCAGACCTCAGCTTAATGTGAATAAACCTCTGGCCAAACATGAACTTTCAGTTTTCAGAGTGTATTTAATTGAGAGCTATGGTTTATTTTGTTCCTTGAGCTAAATTGGGATCTGTACAAATAAAGAATGTGAAAAACCATAGCTGCAGTCTTAGGAGAGCTCCAGTAAGAAAAGAGAGAAATTGTGTTTATAAAACCACAGGGTTGAGCTATTCTTCCTTTTTTTTTGGATTATTCTTTCATTTCTTGGTCTTTTTTGGCCAGAGTGCCAGGGCCAGTGATATTTTGGAGCCATCTATATGGAGCCAGGAGGCCAGAAGCACGCCCTGTCCTCCCTCCTTCCTTGGGATTGTTATGAGCTCCAAATCAATGTAGAAAATTTGTCCAGAGCCATAAGAAAGGCAATTGTTCATCCTTCCTCCTTTGCATGACAGTTGTATCTGCCCCTTCTTCCCCTTGGTCTATTGTCAGAACCAGGGAGCTAAAAGTGTAATGCCATTTCAATTTGTGCTTCTGAAGCTTGAACCAGGCTGTGCTGTTTAGGTGAAAGGCTTAAACACCCGAGAATAATCTTAGGTATTAAGTAAAAATAGCTCCCAGCATTTTGTGCTTAAAATGGTAACTCTATGTGTCCAAGGACTACAGTCTTCTATATTTCCTAGCAAATAGAACCACCGGGATGCTTGAATCTCAGAATTGGAAGTGATTTGGAGGTTAGCTCGTCTGCCTTTGTAGAAGAAAAATGTCAATTGCAGAAAATTTTTCCCCTTTTGTAAACTAGCACTACTTCTCCCCAGCTTTTAGACTCAAAGAAACAAAATCCACAACAAGGAGGTCTTCCTTGTTTGCTCTTTTTCTTTGCTAGAAAATGTCAGTACTATGATAGATGTAGGTAGTGAGGGAAACCTGCCTTCAATCTGGGATGCCTAAATGTCAGGGAAATCTGCTGAACCCATCATGGCCCGGTTAGAATAGATTTTTTATGCTCATCAGTTTTTCTGCAGCAGTAAGCCTCGAAGGCCAATCGGGATTCCAGAAGATGAGGCTGAATCATGACAGTCCACCTACAGAGGAGGGAGAGCTCTTTGATATTCATGTGCTGTGACCCCTGCTCTCCACAGAACCCACTGACAGCCATTCCCAGCAGGGCTCAGGTCTGTTTGGAGGCTGCACACTTTTGTTCTGTAAACAGGTAAGAGGCATGAGCGAACTGCTTACCCGATCCAGCCTCCTTCTCAGGCCGTACACCCTACTCAGTCTGTGATCTAATTACCCCTTCATTTCTGAGGAGTAGCAGCAAGCCTTCCAGGAAGCCAAGCTGAGACAGGAAGAGGAAGCCGACAGGTTGTGGCGAGTTGATCCAGCCCTCTTCTCATTCGTCCTCCTCTCCTTGCTCTTTTCTCTGTCACCAGTGCATCTGAAGACAGTGCAGCGAACTGCTGAGCCAGACATCTTTAAAACATGCCCTTTGTAAGTCATCACCCTTTGTAGTCACAACGAAGGGAGGACATCAAGCGGAAGTGGCTGCCTGTTCTCAGAGCCCAGTCCCAGGAGACGGCAGGCAATGGAGGAAAGATGCTCTCCTGCGTGTCAGCAAGGGCAGACAAATGGCTGTTGCATTTGTTGAGATGTGAGGCTGAACCCAGCAGCTGTTCAGGCCCTCAGAGGGCTGTTCAGAATGTGCTGGAACCTCCAATCAAGCTGTTCTGCTGCTGTGGTTGCCGGTTTTTCAAAAAGCTGGCTGCCTGCTTACCTTATATTTCTATGACTTTTTAACAATCGTGAGGACCCGGCTGGGCGCGGTGGCTCATGCCTGTAATTCCAGAACTTTGGGAGGCCGAGGTGGGTGGGTCACCTGAGGTCAGGAATTCGAGACCCGTCTGGCCAACATGGTAAAACCCCGTCTCTACTAAAACTACCAAAAATTACCCGGGCGTGGTAGTGGGCACTTGTAATCCCAGCTACTCAGGAGGCTGAGGCAGGAGAATCACCTGATCTGGGGAGGCAGAGGTTGCAGTGAGCAGAGATCGCACCATTGCACTCCAGCCTAGGCAACAAGAGCAAAACTCCTTCTCAAAAACAACAACAACAACAACAACAACCAGTTATGAGGACCTTCCAAACACATGCTGCATATCATTCTTGTGGTAGCTCATGTGAGGTATGAACTGGTTACAACACACACATGTAAACTAGTTCATATATAATGTAGTCTATATATACATATATAATGTAGTCTCTCTCTCTATATGGACTCGGAAAGGATAAATGACATGCCCCAAAGCAAACTCAATAAGTGGCAGAAAGCTCCACTATCCCACGGTGTGGCTTCACCTTCCTGTTGAGCCTGATCATTCAGAAAGCTCACTGTCTTGGTCACCTTTCTGTAGCATATATCAGTGGTTCTCAAACTTGAGCATGCATCAGAATCCCCTGGCATGCTTGTGAAAGCACAGATTGCTGGTAGTCATCTCCAGACTTTCGAAGGTCTAGGGTGGGCCTGAGAATTTTTATTTCTAACAAAATGCCCTGATACTGATGTTGGTCCATCAGCCACAATTTGAGAATCATTGGTATCTAGAAAATCACCTTTTTGTATTATAAAACCATTGTTAGTTTGCAGATTTTGGAAAACATTTCCATGTATATTAAGCAGTTTAATGTCAATGTAGGCCAGGCAAAATCATGGGGTATTTAATTCAGAAAACACCTGTGGAACTTCCATTGCTAAGATCAGTCTTGACTCTTTGCCTGGTATTTTCTTTCTGTGGGGTAACTTCCAGCAGGCATCATTCCCTGCAACAACCCATTTGATTGTCATAGCTTCAGTTCCACCAGAGGGGGACTTTGAGACAAGGATTCTAGTGCAACAACTGTTTGGAAAGTTTTGAAGATATTGATAGAACACAATACCCAGGCTTTGCTGGAGCAAAGCCTGCTTCTTTATATGTTCGCATGTGTGCATAAATTAACTTGTGGGGATATTTGTGAATAAACTCATAAAAGCATACATGCACACACAAATATTTTATCTTATTCTTTTGTCCTCATAAATAGTTGAAAAGCCTATACATTATTTTGCAGCTTAGGAAAGGAACGGAACGCACCCCAACCCCCATGAAAAAAAATGTAACGTATTTCTTTGGGCATGAGGGGGTGGAGAGCCAAAGGAGTGCAGTGTGGGCAGGTGAAGTAGTGTAGGATACATGGGATGGATTTATGGGGAACAGAAAAGACTCATGGTCTAGAACAAATACTCAGGGATAAAATGAATAACCCTACTTCAACCTTTAGACTAGAAAAGAGGCCTTTTGGCTTGAGGGAGAGAAAGAGAGCTGGATAAATGATAAGAACACCGATATTGAGAACCCCAGGAGCCTTCTACTGGGTTTAGTCCTGGGAAGGTGGCTGGACGGCAGAGAAGAAACGGCAGTATATCAGGGACTTTAACTGCAGGATGATTCTCATGTGCCTAGAATGGCAGGGAAGCAGTGGAGCCAGGCCCTGAGTCTGAAGAACACAAGGACAGGGTCAGTGACCCAAGGCCAACTCACATGAACCAAAAACCAAGGGCTGGGCAGGGTGACAGACATCTCAGCTTACGTGGATAGATGATTTTGAGGACCTGGGTTTCTGCCCCTGTTGCTGCTTTGGTACTACATAATTCTCTTGGAAATTATGCCATCTTAAGCTGCAACTGAGTCATTCATATGAAAAGTAAAGAAAGTTATATTCACTTGACAGTTGAGTTTGTGGCTAGAGATTCAAGCCTGAGACCCAAGTAAGTTATGCTATGGAGTTTCAGGGCCACATGGAAGTATGCCTTGGTCCACTGGCAACCCACAGGAGACAGTGATGGATTCTCAGAGAAGGTCACCTTCCCGGAGGGGTTAAGGCTTGAGTTGGGGATAATAGATAAATATATATTCAATATATCTTATACATAAACATATTAATGACATTTGTATTTTTAAACATGATTTTGCCAAATGCAGTTTTGCCAATTACAATATTTTCCAGGACCATAAGCCTGTGCCTAGTGAAAAATTACTAGAGTTTCATTTCATATGTAACACCATTCCTCTCTTTCTAACAATTTTATGCATCATTAAGGCCAAGATCAAGTTCTTTTTCTCTAAAACTTAGCTAGCAGGCCAAGCCCGTGCTATTCTTTTTTTCCCCCTTGGCTGTTTGGAAAGATTGTCAGTTCTGCACATTTTAACACTTTTGATCATGCATTATGTAGTCTTGTTCTCTCATCAATTCATTTAAGCTTTCTCGTCTTCCTGGATGGACCGTACCTCTGTGGAGGTCTCACTGAGTAGACATTCTCAAAGGTCAGGACCAGTCAAGGTTCCACTTAGAAAAAAAAAAGTTTCTCTAATTCTTACTAAGATCTTGTGTGTATTGAAGCTGCTCTAAGTGTTATGCAGATATTATTGTAGCCCCGTATAGTAGGTGCTATTATCATCCCTGTTTTACAGATGAACACACATTGATTGAGTCAAGAACCCACTGAAGACAATCACCAGAGCTGAGACAATGAACTAAGAAAAAGATGCATGTGGCTGTAATTAGAAGAAAAACAATTTGCCTGAGCATTTTAAAAAACCTTTTCAATAAATAAGTATTGAATGTTAACATGAGAACCTCTGTGTGGATTGGTTATGATTTCTTCTATACAGGTTATGCTGAAGTTAATGGTCTAGTAACCATTTGATGGTTGGACCTTGCCATTTTCAATAGATCATTTTGCACAACACCCCAGCAGGTGGTGCTATACCTGGCAAGTGTATTCAGGCATGCCCCACTGCTCTCAGAGTGAATTTTCCCATGTCCCTTGGGATCCTGGGGCGGTGGGGTGGGGGTGGGGTGTTCCTTGCAGAGAAGGCTCTTACTCCTCTCGTGTTACCCACACAGGCCTTCCTCTGGCCCATCTCTGTGCTGCTGTGTTTGAATTGCTTCCCATTCATCCCACTGGGGAACAATCCTAGGGTTGTAGGGATGGTCAAACACATGACAGCCAGCCCAGATTGGACAGATGAGCTTGAGACCAATTTATTTATCACACACACACTAATGGCCTGGGGAGAAAGACACAGGGCCACAACGGAGTTGAACTTGGGAACAGAGACTGTGGGAGGCAGGTTCTGTGATATCAAGTGGATAGGGGGACTCCTGGTTCCCACCAGGAGGGGATGTGGTTAGTTTGTCTGAAATGTTTTATGAGCTGGGAGGGAACTAAGACTCCCCACTCAGGGATAAGGAGGAGCTGCACCTGGTCCATTTGGTGACAAGGGTCTTTTGGCAAGAGATTCTTTTTTTTTTTTTTTTTCCCACGAGATGCAATCTTGATCTGTCGCCCAGACTGGAGTGCAGTGGTATGATCTTGACTCACTGCAACCTCCGCCTCCCAGGTTCAAGCGATTCTCCTGCCTCAGCCTCCTGAGTAGCTGGGATTACAGGTGTGCACCACCACGCTTGGCTAATTTTTGTATTGTTAGTACAGATGGGGTTTCGCCATGTTGGCCAGGCTGGTCTCGAACTCCTGACCTCGTGATCGCCTGTCTCGGCCTCCCAAAGTGCTGGGATTACAGGTGTGAGCCACCATGCCCGGCCAAGGGATTCTTATCCATGGTGTGAAGGGAGAGGAGAACTTGTGGTTAGGACTTTCCAGGCCCTCCCAGTTGTGCCAGGTATCAAGGCAGCAATTAATAATGAATCTGATTGTTAGGACTTAAACCACATGCTATGGTATTGCCCCACATAAACGTTCTTGCTTTATGTCTATATTTTTATTCTAATTTTTTTTTTGTAGAGGTAGGGTCTTGCTATGTTGCTCAGGCTGGCCTTGAATTCATGGCATCAAGGGATCTTCCTGCCTTGGCCTCCCAAAGTGCTGGGATTTTCAGGTGTGAGCCACCATGCCTGGCCTAAATTTTTTTTTTTTTGAGTTGGGAGTCTTACTCTGTTTCCCAGACTGGTCTCAAACTCATGGGCTCAAGCAGTCCTCCTACTTCAGTCTCCCAAGTAGCTGAGATTACAGGTGTAGGCCACTATGTCTGGCTATTACTATTAGTATTATTATTTTATATATATATATTTTTTTTCTTTGTATTTTTTTGAGATGGTGTCTTGCTCTGTCACCCAGGCTGGAGTGCAATGGCATGATCTTGGCTCACTGCAACCTCTGCCTCCTGGGGCCAAGTGATTCTCCTGTCTCAGCTTCCTGAGTTGCTGGGATTACAGGCAACTGCATCATGCCCAGCTAATTTTTGTATTTTTGTAGAGATGGGGTTTCACCATGTTGGCCAGGCTGGTCTTGAACTCCTGACCTCAGGTGATCTGCCTGCCTTGGCCTCCCAAAGTGTTGGGATTGATTACAAGCATGAGCCACCGCATCGGGTGCATTTTTATTATTTTTTAAGGGATGGGGTTTGCCGTGTTGCTCAGGCTGGTGTGCAGTGGCTATTCACAGGCACAGTTACAGCACACTGTAGCCTCAGACTCCTAGGCTCAAGCCATCATTCTGCCTCAGCCCTCTGAGCTCTTCAGCTAAGAACATAGATTTCTGGCTCTTCAGATTCTTGCCTGAGACTTACTTTAGAATAGTTTTTCGGTTTCTTTCAAATTGAAAGAAGAGATTACTGGCACTTGGGAGGGGAAAAGTTGAAGTATGTGTTCATTATTCAGTCCTCAAACCTCCCCAGGATTCATGTTGTATTTCTGAAACTAGACCACTAGGAAGCTCCAGACCTACTTTGATCAGATGACCCTGAATAGTTAGGGTTCTTTCAGTTCCCAAGGAATCGACAAGATCTTCTTTAAGCATAAAAGGGGAGATTTGTTAAAAGCACACAGATTGGTCTAGGAGGGCACAGGACAGAGAGACGGCCAGCCCTCAGGAATGAATGGGAACCAGAAGCAGAGTGCCCACAGTGTTTGCAGACCTTGCCCACCTTCCTCACCCCTGAAGGCCACCTCATTCCTCTTTCTTTGCCGTCAGGCCTTGTCTGCCACCAGGTCACATGGTAGAAACCATGGTAAGCCCTCAACGCAGCACTTGGATTTTCATTTCCTCTTTTCAATAGACCGGACCAGACTGAATGTTCTCAGTTCTAAATTGAAATTTCCTGAAGAAAGATGTCGGACTTGTTTATCTTGAGTCACTCCTGAGCCAATGATCCGGAACCAGGGTGTATTAATCAGGGTTCTCCAGAGAAACAGAACCAATAGATGTGATTATGGGGGCTGAGAAGTCCTACGATCTACTGTTTGTAAGCTGGGTGGCCAGAAAAGCTGGTGGTGTCATTTTAGTCTGAGTCTGAAGGCCTGAGAACCGGGATCATTGATGGTGTAAATTTCAGTCCAGGAGCAGAGGAAACCAGTGTTCCAGCTCAACCAGTCAGGCAGAGAGAGAGAGAGAATTCCTTCTTCCCTCCCTTTCTCCCTCTCCTCTCCTCTCCTTCCTCCTTCTTCCCCCTTTCTCTCTCTCTCTTCCTTCTTTCCTCCTTCTTCCTTCCCTTTCTCTCTCTTTCTTTCTTTATTTTCTTTCTTTCCTTCTCTTCTCTCTTCTTCTTCCTCTTCCTCCTCCTCCTCCTCCTCCTCTTCTTCTTCTTCTTCTTCTTCTTCTTCTTCTTCTTCTTCTTCTTCTTCTTCTTCTTCTTCTTCTCCTTCTTCTTCTCCTTCTCCTTCTCCTTCTCCTTCTCCTTCTCCTTCTCCTTCTCCTCCTCCTCCTCCTCCTTTCTTCTACTTCTTCTTCTTCTCTCCCCGCCCCCCCTTTCTGTTCTATTCAGGTCTTTAATTGCTTGGAAAGACTCATCCACACTAAGAAGGGCCATCTACTTTACTGAGTCTACCAATTCAAATGCTAATTTTATCCAGAAACACCCTCACAGACACATTCAGAAATTATGTTTAACCAGTAGTTTTATGGGCACCTGATGATCAAGTTAAGTTGACGCATAAATTAACCATCATCCAGGTAGTCTGGATCACCATAGACAAAATAAAGTCAGGAGCCTTGGCTATGTCCATGTGAATTAGGTGGGTGGTAGAGGGGGAGGTTTTATAGGAAGAGCTAGGTTGTCATGGCATTGGTGGCATGGTCTCCAAAGCCATATATTGCACAGAGGTTTCCCTAAAATAATAACATTTCAATTGAAGATATTCATTATTTTCTTCCACAATCTGCATGGAGATACATGTGGGTTTGAATTTTGTCTTGCAACTATCTTGAATTACACAAGTTACTTAACCTCTATCAACTTCAGCTTCTCTTTAGTAAAATGGGGATAATATACAGGATTGTTGTAGGAATTAAATAACACACTATTTGGAAAGTGCTTGCACTTAGAATAGAAGACACTCAATGAACAGTAACTATTATCATCACTCATCACTAATTTAATGCTAATTATTATTATTTCATGCAGCATGTTCTCAGTCCAACATTGACAAAGGCCATACAAATAAATTGATACTTTCCTTTTGACTGATAGTGACAACAAGATTGCAAGTCAATAGGTGCTCCAACAGGCATGACCCTCGTCTCTGAAAAACATAACATTCACAATTATGTTTTCATGCTAATGAGGACTGAGAAGTAGTCATCTTTAATTTTTTCTTTTTTTGTGTGGTGACACCAACTAACCTCCGTCTAGCATTCTGTGGTGGGAAGATCCCACAATGACACTTCAATCTGTGAGTTAGATGTGAACCTGTGGGCAAACTGAAGCTTGTCACTTCCGTCAAATACGTATATAACTGAGAGAGAAGTACCAATTTAAGTTGGGGTATGCTTTCTGCTTTTTGAATACAAAAAATTCTTTAAGGAGGATGTAGAACTAGAACAAACAAAAAATTATGTTACAATTTGGGATTCAGTACTCTATTGAAAGAGAACAGGAGAAGAAAAGGGGAGTATTTTATAATTTACTAAGATATGGTTCTCAGCATCCTATTTCTCTTTAACCATAAAAACAGTCTCCCTTTAAACACACCTAGGGAATGCATATTTTTTCTTATTTCAAAGCCTAGAGAAAGTTTGCTTTTCCTAAACCATCACATGTATGTCTTTAGCCAGCCTGTTGGGAAGCTATCCATTTTTACTTAGTGATAGTTTTCCTTAACTACCATTTTTGTCTTCTATCTTAAGTCAAGGTCTTATTATACTTCTTTTAAGCTTATTTGTTTTAAACTCATTCTCTCTCTCCCTCTCTCTGTACATGTAACACATATTATATATATTATAGCATAATGTCCTTCAGGTTCATCCCTGTTGTCACAAAGGGCAGGGTTTTCTTCTTTTTAAAAGCTGAATAGTATTCCATTGTGTATACATACCGCATATATACCACATTTTCTTCATTCATTCCTCTGTTGCTGGACAGTTATATTGATTCCACATCTTGACTTTTATGTATAATGGTGCAATGAACATTGGAGTGCTGATATGTCTTTGAGTATCTGGGGTTCTCAGACCTTTTCTAAGGCTGTGTCCAACTCCACTCCTCTTGTTCCCTCCTAGCAGGGAAGTCTTAGAATTTGATCCTGCAAAGCCAGGCCAGGTGCTGAGAGCCTCCTGTTTATTTTCCATAGGGCAGTGTCCTGAAGTGTTCAGTGTTGTGCAGCATCTTTCATAGCAGCA